AAACAGTGAAACATGGGGGAGAAGAGAAAAAAGAAGTTTAGCTGCAGGAAAAGAACACTGCTCGTTCCGCAAAGAAAAAAAAGAGCCAGATCAGTGCACATCGGTCTGGTGATGCTATGGAAGTCTCACGAAAAGCCGGTAAAAATTGACAAAAATCGATAAAACATGTGCTATATATGATATTGGTGTTAGACAGTACAGAATGTTACACATCTGAGGGACAAATATTGAGGTAAAAAAAAATTCAGCGTTCTGTGGAGCACTAGAGCCGGTAGTGTAATGGATAACACGTCACGATTGGAAGTACCCGGAGACAGTGAAATCGACAAGTTCCATTCCTCCCCTCATTTGCAAAAGAAATAATTGGCCAATGCACGGGCTGCCCGTGCGAAGATGAGTTTTTTATGTCGCTATGGGCACTGGTTTTTCCGGCAGATGCTTCTAGCTGAAAGAATTTCAAACTGGCCGCCAGAACTGTCAGGAAACATACCCTTAAAATTTCTGCTTTCTAGTTTTCCCAGCTCCCAGGTTAGCAACTTACTCAAAAAAAAAAAACATTCACGGAACGGTATGTGGGTACCATGTATACCCGGTATCCGGGTTCGAGCTCATTAATACCCACATGGACGAGAAACATCCCTTCAAAATTCCAGTCTTCTAGCTCCTCAGTTCCCGAGTTAGCAATTTATTCGAAAAAACTTTTACGGGCCCGTACATGGGCAACACGCATACCCGAGGGCTGAATTGGGTTTGGGCTCACTAATACCTGTGTGGACGGGGGACATCCCCTTAAAATTTTAGCTTTCTAACTTTTCTAGTTCCCGAATTAGCAGCTTGCCCGTAGAAAACTTTAGCCGGCTTGTACGTGGGTACCACGCGGGTAATGGCGCCCATTTTGGGGATTGTGGTCCGTACGTGCATGTAGATTAAGTCCCCAAAGTTTCAGCCCTGTAGCTTTTGTAGGTCTTGAGATGAAAAATCGATACAGATGCACACATAGACACACACACAGACAACCCTTCGTCAATATGCGTTTTCTGCAATGCATAGCTGCACAAAACGCACAAAAAGCTCCATTTGCAACAACTGAAATCACTAGTATATGTGCCTATTTTTTATTTCTTATTTTTCGTTAACATATTTTCCCCGATTCGATGGACCTAAAAATAGTTTGAGATGAAAGCATCCGATGGATGGGGAGAGGCTGGGCGCGGGGAAGGGGGGAGAGGGAAGCATTTCGCATTCCTCACTGCCAATTGAGGCAAAAATTTGCTAAAAAGATGGAAATTTTAGCTCACCAAAATTGATATTTTTCACCGTAATGGGGAGCTTTACAAAGAGATGAGCAAGATCAAAAACTTAATTATTCACAGCATCAAATTTTACGATCTTTCTCCCCTCCTCCCTCCCCTTCATCCCCACTCTCCGCCTCTCTCTCAGTACATTTTCCATCCTTTTCTTTTCTTTGCAAGGGCTTTTTCTCGTCGAATGTAGAACGGGACAAATAACTGGCTCACTTACCATGTGGTAAAGTGTGGTTTCTTTTGGTCGTGTAACATAACGAGCCCATGGCGAAAGCTTGTGCCTGTAGACGCCATTCTTCTTCACAGCAATCTAAAACAACAGACAGCTTATTGAAAAGAAAAAAAAAATTTTTTTTGAAAGCTGAAGAGGAACAATTTTCCAACATAACAATTATTTGAATGTCTACTAGCAGCATAGGTGGATCCAGGGCGGTTTCTGGGCGGGGATTGGGGGATTTGAGCGATTTCTTCTCCTTTCCCCCCTCCCTATCGTCGGTATATCGCAAGCC